CACACTTTTGAGATACCTTACCCTTCCAGGATAATATGACATGGACTGGGTACTTTTCAGGATCAAGAGTGACTACCTTAGGACCTTCTATGAGTTTGTATGACATACTTTGGAAAATGATCTGATCAGGGTCCCTATCGTCCCACAGGATAGCTCTGATGCAGCCTATTTCAGCATCATGTTTGCACAGTGAACAAATGGCTTGGGCCCAATTTATGAGTTTACTGATAAGGCCAACTGCATAGCGTGTGGACTACAGGAATTTCAACATGCAAACTAACCAGTGAACAAAGGTCTGTGATAGACAAAAGAAGAGAATCTGCTGGCCAATTTTTCTACTAGGATATTGAGGAAAGGGAGCTCACTTGACTTTTCTATTTCAAATGTGAATTTGAGTGTAAAATGCAGACCATTATGACATGCAAGGAAACTTGGGTGACATGTACCATTAACAGGATGTTACTGTCAAGCCAAAAATCACAAAAATGAGAAATGTACATACAAATTACAATGCTGGTATGATGACAGGTGTGTAGGCTGCCAGCCCCAAAGACTGGAATATTGTATCAAACATCATATCCTGTTTGCAATAAGCAAGGTGCTGTCGGTACCCAATCAGCCCGAACTCTCAAAATGTGCAACAGTGTCCAACATTAGATGTGATTCTGCAATTGGATAATATTTGCTGGATAACCTGAAATGTGTGAAGAATTACACTGATAATCAATTCTGGATTATCAGTTGGGCTCATAATGTGGCACACGTGCAGTGGAAGCTACATATATTAATAGAGAGTTCTGTTCTTTGCAAACAGAAACATATATTCACAGCGTCTGTTTCAATACAACAAAATAAGTGACAACCACCTGCTGGTTAATTTCTCAGGGCCATGTCTTGACCAATCACAGTCAACCCAGCTGGTTTAAAATTTAATTAGAGCCTGGTTTTAATGGTCAATCTACGGTCCTGCCAAGCTGTACAGCTCTGAAGGACTGTACCAGCTGATTAATGTGGACGCATTCAATTCTGGTTTCTCCAGCAACTGGCATGCACAGAGCTCAAAGGTCCCTGCAGCAGTTGGAAAAATTAAAGGGAACGTAGCAGTCAATCATCATTGATGGATGCATTCTCCATGGCGATGCCTCTGCCAATCAGAGTCCACTGGTCAACCAATCAGCACTCATGCAGTATAAATGTTGTTCCCTTAAATGTGTAGACTTGTCAAATGACTTGCTAAGTGCAAGACAAAATGCTTTGGCAAAATGTGACTTTTGCCAGAAATGCTGAAATTAAATTTGTGTTGAACGTTAGTGGTTTACAGTACCTATAACTGAGAATATTATAGAATTTTACAGCAAAGTAGGATTTCTTACCTGTAAAACTGCAGTCTTTAGTGAAAAATAATCGACTGATATAATTCAAAACACTGAATATCCTGATTACTTTTAAATTTATTTTACCTTGCATGTCCACACAACTTTTTTTTCTCCAGTTCCCTTAGTGAACTTGTTATCAATATAATTTGCCAAGAAGCATACCAGTGTAGCTGGGTGATGATTTTCACGACAGGCTTGCACCTGCCTCTTCCAACAGCAGTATGGCAGAGATCAGACTCTCAGCAAAATGGGAAAATAATATCCATGTAGCATTTCTAAATATGATAAATATGTACTTCTGACTTCTTGTTTCCACATGGCCAAAAATCTCAACACTAGGTTATTGTTCAACTCATTTATCTGAAAACATTAGCTTTCTGAGCTCTGCTCCTTCCTGAGATGTAGTGTGGAAGATGAGGTATACTGACACAGAATTTATAAGCAGAAAGGTAACAACCCTAAAAATGGCTCGCTGACCACCTCCTGTTGAATCTTGAATCAGTTAGAAAGGATACGCAAATACCAGAATTTCTTGAGTCATTGCCCTGAGATAATTAAAGGTTTTATTAGTGTATAGAAGAGGTGGCATCTCAGGTCGGACAATGCATTTTAGGTGTGAGGCTTTGTTTAGAATCTGTGTTTTAACCTGGAGTCATGCTGGTTTTATTTTTTTGAACCAAATAGAATGTATCTGCAAATACACAAGCATCTTGGATGAAATAATTCACCCCATAGATTTATATCTATGTGCGCGTGCAAGACAGAGTGCGAGAGTGGGCTGTCTGTGCATGTGTGTGTGTAGAGAGTGTGATGGGGTCACCTGTAGCACGACAAAACCCACAGAAAAAGGCACTCACGCACACGCACTCAGACACATAAATCTAATGTGTGAACGATTTCATTCAAGATGATTGTGTATTTGCAGATACATTCTATTTGGTTCAAAAACATAAAACCAGCCTGACTCCAGGTTAAAACACAGATTCTAAACAAAGCCTCACACCTAAAATGCATTGTCTAACCTGAGAAGTCAACTCTTATATACACTGATAAAACCTTTAATTACCTCAGGGCAATGACTCGAAATAAATTCTGGGATTTGCATTTTAATCAATAGAGGCCTATGTCTCCTTTCCAGCTGATTAAAGATTCAACAGGAGGCTGTCAGCGAACCATTTTTAGGGTTGTTACCTTTCTGCTTATAAATTCTGTGTCAGTGTACCTCTTCTTCCACACTATACTGAGGAAGCAGCAGAGCTCCGAAAGCTAGTGTTTTCAAATAAATCTGTTGGACTATAACCTGGTGTCGTGTGATTTTAGACCTTGTCCACTACAGTCCAATACCGGCACCTCCACATTTTGTTTCCACATGCAATTGATAATAGTAGTAGAAAGGATCAAAACAATTCATAAAAGCTTAGAAGCTTACAAAAAGCAGATTTTAAAAATTTAGATAGAAATTGTTCTCAGGTTATGATTGTAGATCAGTTGTTGCAATTTTGGGAAATTAAGTTGCCATTCCAGTCTACAAACAGTGAATTTCTTTGAATTTTAAGAAGATGACTTTCGTGTAATTTCATGGGGGCAGGGGGTACAAACACTTTAGATGGTTACTAATATGCCATCCCACAAGAAGTCTTGACCTATCGTGTGCCAACTAGTTTATAAAGAATTGATAGGCAGCAGGTGACTGGATTTCTTGGCCTATTGAAGGCCTTAACACTGGTGTTCCTAAAATATTGGCAGGCAGCTCCAGGGTCTGAAAGACCACTGGTTAAAGATCATTCTTCGGGGAATCCAGCAGTGAGAAAGTGAGTAATTTTAGATTCTTCTTGTGGGGTGGGTGGAATGTCTGGGTGAAGGAGGTTTGAAGTTAAGGGCAGAAGTGTGGTTTTTCGATGCCATCACCTTACTCCTACACCTCTCTTTACACAACTCCCACCCCACCCCAACCTGTCTGTGGTTAGTTTGGCCTCACATTGGTTTCTCCATTTGGGAAATGAGCCATGTTTCAGCCTTGAAAGCAGAAACTGCTAGAGAAACTCAGTAGGTCTGGCAGCATCCATGGAGATAGAAGCATTGCTGCTCACAAATGTGGTCTCCTCCACATTGGAGGGATGAAACGCAGACTGGGTGACCACTCTGTGAAACACCTATGCTCTATCTGCAAAAATAACCCTGAACTTGTGGTCACCTGCCATTTCAACATAGTGCTCCTGGCCAACATTTCTGTCTCGTGCCTGCTGTCGTGCTCCAGCAAAGCTCAGCACAAGCCAGAAGAACAGCGTCTCAATTTCTGATTGGGGACCCCGCAGCCTTCAGGAGTCAATACTGTGTTCAACAATTTTAGGGCCTGAGCACCTTGTACCATGTCTTTTGCCCACTTCCACAGTCCAGGTCTTGTCATCACTCGGGTTGCTTTCATCACAACTCCACTTTCTGTATATAAACCACTTTTTCCTAGCTACAATCAGTTCTGAAGGAGGGTCACTGGACCCAAAATCTTAAATCTGTTTCTCTCTCCACAGATGCTGCCAGACCTGCTAAATTTCTCCAACAAATTCCGTTTTTGTTTCACATTTCCAGCATCTGCAGTTCTTTCTTCCTTGTTCATACCTCTTTCCTGTCAAGAATGAGGGAGTTGGCAAGCTGTGACCTTTCAGTGACTTGATCTTTCCATTACTTGATAATTAAGTGCCTTAATTGATGGTGGGTCAAGAAGGTCGACCATTGGCCTTCTCACTCGGAAGTGTAATGCTGAGGTTGTGAGAAGGGGGTGATTCTTTCGCCAGGGTCAACTTAACCAATTATTTCAATTTCCCACCACCTCTAGGGAGGGGAAAATTGTACCTGTGGTGTGTAATGCAATATCTGTGTAACTTTTTATGTTTAAAATATTAAATTTGATCTTTAATTAGAATTTGAGACATTCATGTGCACAAAACATTTTTTCAAGTATACCTATACTTTTACAAATATAAAGTTGGATAGGAGGCTGTTCTACCATCCTGAAGTCTTTGAAAGATTTCATTTTAAAAATCAATTGCTAGTATCGAAGGAACAGACTCGGGAATTGCAAAGAATTAACTTAAGAAATCAACAGCTGAAAGCAGATGTATAGATAAATGAGCAAACAGATGGCAATACTGTTTCAATACCTTTGCTGCTCAAGCCAAGAAACCTTTCCCAACTTCAACATCAGGAACAATAAATATGGAAAATGGGACGAACAATAACATAAATCACACCCTGACAAGTAGGTGTCCCTGGTGAAGAATCGCTCTTCAATTTATCTTACATTAAAGAAATTGTATTACAGTCCTAAAGAGGTTCATGCAGAACATTTTAAAGCACATTATTTGAAAGAGTGTTTTATAATTAGCACATATCAAGAGTCATGAACAACATGTCTCATGCTCCAAACACACAGGAGCCATTTTATTTTTATCATGTTTTGTTTAAAGACCAATTTAAATTCATCTTTTTAATGACTGTTGCACATAACTGATGTTCTAGACAGCACATTGAAAATGTTAATATCTATTCTGTAGGTAGCAACATCTTAGTCATTGGAAAATTGCCATTATGTTGTAGCTAGTTTGTAGCTGTTGGAGTGGAACTCACCTTCAGAGACGTAAGACAAAGCTTTGTTCTTCAAAGACAGCATTGTGAGCAAGTTGAAGAACA